GCGGGGAGATACCCTTTCAGTCCTCAGTAGGATCTGAATAAACTTTCTTAAACATAGTCGTTGTGGGTAAAACTAACATTTCCAGAATATCTCTCCTTGCTTTAGTGCATTTGCATATCCTCAGGGGTGGAGAGAAGTTCATCTCCATGTCAATGGGTAATATTACCTAGGCAACCGAGGGCCTGTCTGAACCTGACAGTTTAAGGGGAGGGGCTGGCTTGCCTGCTGCCTTCCTTCCAGAGCAGGGGAGAGAGATGGCACTGGGCTGCAGTTTGTAAGGAATAAATGGGTTTTAAACTTTATTTCTCCCTTTGACTGATTTCGGTTTTTAGAGGTATTTTGCCCCGGGATTTCCTTTACCCGGACTTAGAGTCGTATTGATGTCTATCAGCACTAATTAACCGTCAAAAATTATAAATCGGGACATCGCACTTAAAATTCTAGAATTCGAAACTTTTTTAAGCAAAGTTGCAAGATTCAGGCAAACGGTTGTGTACTTCTGTGAACCCCTTTGGCGGCCGCCGGCTCTCGCCCGAGGCCAGGTGCCGACCTCTGCTCTAGAGCCCACCCCCTTGCTGCGCCCTCAGCAAAGGCGGCACCTGCCCCGAGGGGCGATAGCGTCACTTCCGTCCGTCCGCCCTCAGCAAAGATGGCACCTGGCCGGAAAAGGGCCAGAGGAGCGACTTCCGGCTGGGCGGTGCGCGGCAAGCGTAGCTTCCGGCGACGCTCCGAATGACGTAAGAGGGCGCCCTTCTAGTCTTGGGCCGATGACGGCGTGAGGCGCATCGAGGTCAACGGCGGTGCTCCAGGCGCTGGCGGCGTAGGTCTCGCAGCAGGGAGCTAGGAACTGTTGACAGGAGGGCGGGATCTGGAGGGGAGACCAGGCCAAAGCGCTGGGCCGGCGGGGTTAGGGGGAGCGGTCCGAAGAGGGGGCCAGCGCGACCGGCGAGGGGGCCAGGAAGTGGGCCCGGCCCTTCTTTTCCGAGGCCCGCGTGCGCCCTTCGACGTTCCGCTGACCCCGAGTGCCCCGAGCCCTTCGGTTCCGGGCGCGTCGTCCTCCACATCCGAGGGCCGCGCCCTGGGCTGGTGTTGGCCTGATTCCGCCGGGTGTTGGAACCTCGTGCTCCCTGATCGTAGGGTTGTCTGCGATTGGAAGCGTTTCCATGGCTTCCCGCTGGCCGGCCCAGCGGGTGGGGTGTTCCCTTTGCGCCAGGATCGAGTCCAACCAAGCATTTACAGCCGCTTCAGGCTGCCTGTGCAAATAAAACGGGCCGGCTGTGCACCGAGCTCCCGGTAAGGGAAGCGCAGACGCGCCTTACTGGGGCAGGAGTGAGACCCCGGTCACGTGCCCTACCCAGGCAGGTCGTTTGTGAGCGAGGCTGTCTAATTGTGCAAAGCTACTTCAAAATGATATATACGATTCCTGGGGAGGTGAAGTTTTGTGTGGGCGTGGGAAGATGAATGGTGGTTTCCCAGGCCCTGGGGTAGGAAAGCTGGAGACAGGCCCTGCCTGGGAGGGATGGGGGTGTGAGGCAGGGAGGAGGAAGGGATAGAATGAGAGCAGTGATTCTGGACCCTATCCTGAAGTGCTTAGGTCAGTCTGGGAGTTCTGCTCTTAGGAGTCTGCCTCTCAAGTAGGTTGGTGATGTACCGAAGCCAGGTTTGAGAAGGCTCATTCGCACATGTATAAGCAATAGAGTACGTCCACTCAAACTGCGGGATCCTTATTATTTGTCCAGGGTTTTCTAGCAGCAGTCTGATTGGAAATATGCTGTCTCTTTGGCTTTGTATGCTAGGGCACTCTTGAAGTACAGAAATGAGCCATGTCCAAACCTTATCTGCAAAAACTCCCCTTCAGGAGGTTGTGGGCCAGGCCTGCGGTGTGAATTGTTGAATCACTTTCCAGGTGATTTTGAAGCACAGGCAAGACTAAATATCCTCCAACCAGGGCTGTAATGCTCCTGATTTTTTATATTTGGTTACGTTCTACAGTGTGACAAAACCCTGAGATTTTTGCTTCAGAAAGTGCTGTTCCTTGCGTACGGGCAGTTCGCCCCTTACGGAGGGCAGCTGAGACTCCCTTTCCTTTGTCGCATTTTTCTCAATGTCTGTGAGTCAGGAGCTGCTCTTGCAGCACTCTCCTACCCTTTCCTCTTCAGGGCTTTGGGATCACCTGCAAGGAGTTACCTCCCTGTCACCCGGACCGCTATGGCCGCTCACCTGGTGAGACGATGCTCATGGCTCCTGAGAGCGGCCACTCGGTTGGCCCCTGCCATGGCTCCGGCTGGCCGGCCAGGGCTGGCCAGGGCGGCCCATAGGACTCTGGCTTCTTCTGCCCCCTCTCCCAGTTCCCACTCGTCAGGTTCCTGGTCAGAGCTTCTGGAGAAGGAAGTGTTTACTCCCTTCGCAGAGAACCAGGAGGTGGACCAGCTCATCGAGAAGGCCACCGGGCCAGAGGAGCTCCTGAGGCTGCTTGGGAGTGGTCACTGCCTGCACCAGAACCATGCGGCCCTCGTGCTCATCCGACTCTGCCGCCTGCTGTCTGAGAAGCCCGAGCACAAAGCCACGCTCACACAGGACGCCCGCCTTCAGCAGCTTCTCTATCTGATCAACAGTCAGGTTGGTTCTGGAGCATGCCCTGGAGTTTTGACAAGTAAAGGACAGCACAGGCAGTGCATGTGGCTGCCACTCTGGCCTCGTTGGCCCTGCACAAAGCAGCCCCTCTTTCCAGGTAGAGACAGGCCCACTGTTCGCTCAGTCCCTCACCATCCTGTGGCGTCCGCTGTTGCCTAGGTGGCACAGTTGTGTCTCGTTCTCTCTGTCCTCACAGCAGTGACTAGGTGAATGCTGTGCCCTTGTATGTAGCAAGAGTTCCACTCAGTCCCTCAGCTGCTTCCCCCTCACCCTGGTTGCTGCCCCGCAGCATCTCGCTGACACCAGGCGTGCCTTTAAAGCTAGAGGAGGCACAGTGGAGCTGATGGAGACCTCAGAGACCTGAGTGGGCACGGCATGGCATCCCCCAGCCAGCAGACCCTCTGGGACAAGCTTGGGGAGGAGGGGTCTGCCTGTAGTCTCAGGGCAGAACTCAAGCTGGTTTCTGTGCACTGAGAAAGGTTGGCCCTCACGTACTCCTGGTCTCCACTGAAGTGGGAGACTGCTCCCCTGTCAGCATTTTTCACTCACCCTGTGTCCAGCTGTGGAGTCAGTTGACAAGTTTCAGGATACTTGGAAGGGGTGTGCTAAATCAGTGTGTTTCAAACTGCCTGTTATGAAAGTGGTATAGTGGGTGTGGCAAATTGGCTTTTAATGGGATTGAGTCACTCAGGAAATACAGAATTCCCACTCAGTGAGGAAGATACCTTGTGGAGGGACTCTTTTAGTTAAATATGTATGTGCTGGGGCTACCATATGTGTATATTGTTACCAAGAATATATAGCTCATAAAAATTAGGTCCCTTTTTATTTATTAATTCTAGTTATTTATTGACTTTTGTATACATAACTAAGCAATTTTACAGGACAACATTGAACATTGTAACAAAATTATAAGCCACTAAGTGTGGGGAACAGTGTTTACCATGTAAGTGGTGACCAAGCTTTCTCATAAAAGGGCTCCCTACTGCCTGGCAAGTCACAAAAAAACAGGCTGGGTCTCTATGCTGAGATCAGATTCAGAGCTCCCCTGCTTCCTGCTCACCACATAGGTGACATCAGTGGCCCTGTGGTCCCATCTCACAGGTGAGGCCACTGACACTGATGGGCCAGTGGTGGGATTTGGGAGGCTCAGCACAGCAAGTGACAGAGCCATGTTCGAGTTCAGATGGCCTGACTGCAGCCCTGTGCCTGCTTACCACAGGCTGCCCTCCCTGAGGGGGACTGGCCAGAGGCCTTCTGCAGTAGTCTGTCTTTCTCTGAGGCCTAGAAACGCTCTGCTGGGCAGAGAGGGCCGCCCTTGCTCAGGGACCAGCAGGAGGACAAGGAGGCTGGGCAGTATAGTGCAGAGGGTGGGGCTGGCCTCAGGCGCCGGAGTGGTATCTGGGTCTCAGCCACCACATGGATTCAGAGAGGTGGCTCTGCAGCCTCCACACTGGCACCTGGCTTGAGTGGCCAGAGGACTGTGTCTCCTGAGAGCTAAGCTAGTGGTGGTGGCAGTGCATGTGGCCAGCCAGCTGCTCATCCCTGGTGCCTGGGAGTTTGGGGTGGGCAGGACACAGTGGTACCAGGGTGTCTTCACCCATGTGTCAAAGGGCTCACCCTGGGACACTGGGTTGCTGGCTCTAGTCACTCCACTGTGTGTTTCCAGAGACTGTGTCATGGCTGCTTTTTGGGGGCGAAGGGTTGAGGGTTTATCAGACTTACTTTTCTGAGAAAGTTAGAGGGTCTTTAATAGCTGACATTGTGATTGTCATTGCAAGCTAGAGAATGAGCTGTTTGGCAAAACCGACCTTCACCTTAGCAGCCCCTTAGCCTGAGTCGCCATCCAGTGGGTTCCTTCTGACTCAGGGTGTGGTGGTTGTGTCCCAGCAGTGGGCGCAGAGGAGAGGCAGCGGGGAGTGGTGCCCACCATGCAGTGGGGGTTTGTGTCAGGGAACCTGGTAGGAGTCTTGCCACCCAGGGCTGTGTGGCTTACAGGGAGGAGCATGTGGCTGCAGCTGATGGAGCAGATGGGGGTGTAGTGGAGGCTGGAAAGCCAGGCTCAGCGAACAGGTGAGGCACCGGCTGCAGGGGCACCATGGGAGCACATGCCCTGAAGTGATGGGTGGTGAACTGACGCTAGGAAGGTAGCTTGTGGCCCAAACCCTTGGCCTGCTCCCTGGTCACATGGGCAGGTTGAGTCCCAGGCATGACCTTGCCTGTGTCCTCCCCATGCAGATATCCACAGTCTGGAACGGGACCCTCGTGAAGCTGCTCCGGAGCCTCTATGTGTTGTCGCTGCCCACAGCCTCCAGAACACTGCGGTCGGCAGAGCAGGAGGTCCGCTGGCGCCTCCGCAGGCTCAAGTACAAGCAGCTGGCCTTCCTGGTGGAATCTAGCGCCACCTACATGCAGGAGCAGGGCTCCCAGGAGCTGCTGGCAGAGCTGCTGGTGCACCTGGAGCGGCGCTGGGCGGAGATCGAAGATGGGCGCACAGTGGTGGCCATGATGATGAAGGCAGGCCACCTCTCGGAGTCACTTATGAACCGCCTGGAGGACAAGGTCCGGGATTGAGCACAGGCTCCAGCCCTGGAGCTCAGCTTGTCTCCTGGGGAGGGCCACGGGACAGGAGCCCCAGCATTTCTATCCAGAGTCCAGGGTTGGCACTAGGGGAACCACTGGCTCCTGGAGGGCATGCAGAGCCTGAACTCCCCTCCTTTATCTTCCTCCAAAATGGCCCAGGTGCACAGTGAGGAGTGGAGAGGCCCATGGTGGCTTGGCTTCTGGTGAGCGTGTCCCAGCGCCATCGTGCCCCCAGCTCTGCAGTCAAGTCAAATTCAGCCCCGTTCTGTGGTGGCTGGGGCTGGCCCAGATGGCTGCCACAGTGAGCTCCACAGCCCATAGGCCCCAGGTCCCCTGCCCTGGAACCTGGGGATAAGTTTGGCTGCAGACATGGTGGCCCCGGACTGGGTCTCCCGGGTGGCACAGTGTAGGCCCTGCATACACGGGCCTGTGTTTAGTCAGCTCAGGCCCAGTTGCTGTCTCACAGGGGCTGCACTGCATGGGACCCCTGGTCCTTGGGCCGTCAAGCTGACCCCTGCCGGCTGTGGTTGACAGTGCCTGGAGCTGGTGGAGCAGTTTGGCCCTGATGAACTGCGGAAGGTGTTGGTGACACTGGCAGCTCAGAACCGACGGTCGGTGCCCGTGCTACGGGCCATCTCATACCACTTGGTCCAGAAGCCCTTCCTCCTGACGAAAAGCATCCTTCTGGACCTGGCCTATGCCTACGGTGAGCCTTCTGCACAAGGAGTGTTAGGGAGGAGGGCTCCAGCCGCAGCTGTGTCAAATTCGGTGCCTGCCCCCACCATGCCAGGCACTGGCCCAAAAGGCTGCCATAGAAACACTGTGACTCATGGGCTCTGAGCCTCTCTCTCTGGGCCTCAGGGATACATCTGGTTACAGACACCAAGCTCCTGAACCTCCATGCCTAGCGTGGGTGGTCGGGAGGGTCTCGGGGTGGCCTGTGACCCTCACCAGGTAAATTCTGGTCTGCTCTGTCCTGAAGGTAAACTTGGCTTTCACCAGACCCAGGTGTTCCAGCGCCTGGCTGCCGACCTGCTCCCGTACACGCCCAGCCTGACATCCAGCGAGGTGGCCCGCTGCACCAAGTCCTTTGCCTTCCTCAAGTGGCTCAACCTGCCCTTGTTTGAGGCTTTTACTCAGGTAGCTGGGACCTGGAGCTGAACTGGGGTTGTCATGCCTGATTCCCACCTCTAGCACCTGCTTCCTGGTCATTTCATCGGGGAACTATGACTGGCCTGGAAATGCTCCCTGGTGGATGTGGGGTCTCTCCTCTTACTTAGAATTTTGCTCAGTGGTGAAAGAAAACGCAGAAAGTGATTTCCTACAGTTTCCCCAAAGCATGCAGGCATTTCCATCCACCTTGGGTAAGGAGCCTTGCAGGCAGTGAGCTGAGAGTCCACCTTCAGCCGCCCCAAGTTGAATTTGTGGAGAGAGACTGCGTGCTATCATGCACATGGGCACCTGTAGGAAACTGCATTTACTTGCTAAAGAGTTTTGAAAGCCACCATCAGTCAGTTTCCAGGGGTCTTGACTTCTAGGTAATCTCTGTTGAGTGGAGAGGGTCTGGCCCAGGCAGGTGGTTCATGGCCCTGAGGGCAGGTCTGCATGGGGCACTGGCCAGTCCTCATCCTGCCCTTCTGCCTCATGTCACCCAGCATGTCCTGAGCCGAGCCCAGAGTATCACTGTGCCACACCTGTGCAACATGCTTCTGGCTTTTGCCCGTGTGAACTTCCGTCCAGGACAAGACCAGTTCTTCAGTCTGGTATGGTCTTCCTGCCCCGCACCCTCCCTGCTGGCCTCTGCTGGGCCCTCCAGGGAGCGTCTCAGGGTTGGGGTGTGGGTAGAGGCCAAATGTGTGCAGAGGAGCCCTAGGTGAAGAGGCAGAAGGCAGGGCCTGGTGTGGGGCAGCCATCTAGAGCCAGGAGTCCCAGGGATGGTCTGGGGACAGCACCCATGAAATCCCAGCATGCCAGCTCTGTGGCTAAGAACAGCTGTGAGTCAGGAGGGCATCAGCCAGCTTACCACGATGAGGCCTGGGAGACCCTGGTCTCACTTCCTAACTCTCCCTTAGCACCCTGCCAAGGCTCAGACACCTTGCTGCTCAGCCTCAGGTGTCAGCAGGACAAGAGGGCCCTGCCAGGCTGACAGCATCCTGTGTGTGGCCCAGGCTTGCTCCTGGGTCCCTGTAGTATGGCGCCCTGCACTGCAGCTCCTGTCCTGGGGCCACTCAGGATGGGGCTGGAGACCTGCCACAGGCCCTGCCTGTGAGCCCCTGCTACCCTCCCACCCCAAGTGCCCCACACCAGACCAAGAGCGCCTCAGCTGGGGTTGCCCCACGAACCCAGGGCCTCAGTGTGGCCAGGCCCTGAGGCTGCCGCTGAGCCCTGCCCTCCCTCAGGTGCACGAGAAGCTGGGGGTGGAGCTGGAGGGCCTGGACCTGGCGCTGCAGGTGGATGTCGTGTGGGCTCTGTGCGTCCTGCAGCAGGTGCGGGACGTGGAGCTGCATGCCGTGCTCCGCCCTGAGTTTCAAGCCCAGTTTCTCGGTGAGCCCCTCGGTGACACAGCCAGTAACTTGGCCCTTCACCAGGTCCCTGTGCCGTCCAGCCCCTCACTCTGCCTTCTCCCTCAGGCAGTGGGTCACCAAAAGACCAGAGCACTTTCCAGAAGCTGGTCCATATCAGCGCCACTGCCCAGCTGGAACACCCGGAGTACACAGGCCCCCTTTTGCCAGCCTCTGCCCTGGTGCCCCTGCTCCCGGCCCTGGACGGGAAGGTGACCCCCCTGCAGAAGGATCTGCAGGGGGCACTGAGGGGGTTGCTGGGGACCGCCGACAGGGGCAGCTTCACGGTGGCCACGCAGTATGGCTGGGTTCTGGGTGAGGGCCAGTGTTACCCTTGCCCCTTCCACAGAAAGGGCTCTCCTCTCTCCCTGACAGTCCTGACGCGTCTGTCCTGCCCCTCTCCAGACGCTGAGGTGCTGCTGGATGCCGATGGCCAGTTCCTGCCCGTGAGGGACTTCATGGCTCCTCACCTGGTCCTGCCCTGCGGGAGCCAGCCTCTACCCACAGGAGCCAAGCGGTAGGCCAGGCAGCCCCTCCTACCCCCTCCGACCCGCCCTTGTGCTGCCCCTCTGCCTCTGCCCTCAGCACTCAGGCCCCTCTCCTGCCAGGCTGGCCTTCCTGCGCTGGGAGTTCCCCAACTTCAACAGCCGCAGCAAAGACCTGCTGGGGCGCTTCATGCTGGCCCGGCGCCACCTGCTGGCCGCTGGCTTCCTGCTCGTGGATGTGAGTACCTGTCTGGTGGCAGAAGCAGCACCAGGGGCAGCCCGTTGTCCAGCTGCTCAGCTCTCCAGGAGGAGGTGGGACAGCCACCAACACTCCTACCCCAGCTCTGAAGGCCAGCTGTGTTGAGGTCTCCCTCAGCACAAAAAGGGGATGTTTTGAGGGATGGCATGCTGTCTGAGGCCACAGGGCTTGTCAGCATCAGGGCCCAGCAAGCAGGGTGGTGGGGGTGCAGCCTGTACACTGCAGTGACCCCGGGGCTTCGCCCAGGACCTCTGCCACCGCCTCCTATCATCCTGTTTGGGGGCCACGTGGGGTCTTTCTTGTTGAGTTCTTTGAGTTTCGTTTTTCTAACAACTCTTTAAAAATACGTCGTTCCCAAGTCACATGTCCATTCAGAACCCCTGCCTGGGATCTCGGGCCCTGCACCTCAGCCCTGCCAGAGCCAGGTATCCCCACCACCCTCACTCCTGTAGCAGAGCAGGGCTCCCTGCCCCCACTGACCGCTCTCCAACACCCCCTCAGGTGCCCTACTATGAGTGGCTGGAACTCAAGTCTGAATGGCAGAAAGGTGCCTACCTCAAGGACAAAATGCGGAAAGCAGTGGCGGAGCAGCTGGCCAAGTGACCTCTCCCAGTACATGGCTGGGCCCCCAAGGCCTGCGTGGGCACCAGGCAGGCAGGAGGTGGCCCTGGACAGGCCTTGGAGGCAGGAGGCAGGAGCTGCCCGCCTCTTCAGGTAGCAGGCCACCCTCTCAGGGGTAATAAATTTTGCTGTTTGGTGTCCAGCACCACAAGTGTCCTGGGTTTTGTCACAACACCCGCCATTCCCCCATGGGTGCTGCCTGCATTCCCTCTACCCAGAGGCAAGGAGTCCCCCGGAGGGAGATCTGGCTGGCTTGCCTGCTGGCCCAGTTGCTCCGTCTATCTGTTGGTGCCACCTTCCCACCTGTGGGGGAGCCTCACATAGGCACACCAGCCTGCTACTTGGGCCTGCTGACACACAGATGGCGCTAGGGTTCTGAGCCAGGGCAGGGCCCCTGGATGGCCAGTTGGGTTCTGCCCACAGCCGTCTGGGAAGTTCCCTCCCACCAAGGTCACCAGTGAGGGGGCTCTGAGGGCCTCTGCCAGCAAATGTCACAGGCTCCATGCATGGGAGCACTGGCTCAAGTAAGGGGGACCATCACTGCTGTGGCAGGGTCGAGGGTCCCAACAAACAGCAGCGCTGCAGACGGGCCAAACACCTTCCCCATGGCATGGAATGCATGGCCTTGTCACTCACAGGGTAGCAGGTCAGACCAGGACACCAGGCCTTCAGCCACAGAGCCTACGTGAGACATTTCCATGAGGTTGTACGAAACGATAGTTGGTCCTTGAATAGCATGGGTTTGAACTGTATAGGTCCATTTACAGACTTTTTTTGAATAAATGTGTTGGAAAATTTTTTAGAGATTGGTGGCAGTTTGCGGCAGTATTTTTCTCCAGCTTTACTATAAAAATACAGTATTAAACAATACAACCTACAAAATAGGTTTTGACCAAATATTACTGGTGAGGCCTCTGGTCAATAGTAGCTATTAGTAAAGTTTTAGGGGAGTCAAAAATTATATGCAGATTTTTGACTCGGGGTTAGCACCCCAAGCCCTGCTACATCCAAGGGTCAGCAGAGGGCCCCCGTCCCACCGTGCCCTCTACTGCCTGCCCTGTTGCTGACACAACATCATGTGAGAACACCAACAGGCGTGAGCTACTGCAAGGACCCTCACATAGCCATCTGTTTTCAGGCCTCGCACTTGGTCTCAGCCACCAACCTGTTCTCCATTTCTGCTTGGTTACTTGGAGAATGCTCTGGAGAAGAGTCCTACGGTCTGACCACTGGGATCTGGCTTCCGCCTGGTGGTTCAGAAGTCACCCAGGCCGTGTGCACCCGTAGCCCCTGTGGCTGCTGGACTGGCTCATCCCTGAGTGCAGTGTGCACACAAGCCCAAGTTCCCATCTCTGGGACAAATGCCTGGGAGTAAAGTACATGCCAAGTTTAAGAAACTGCCAAACTTGTGCAGAGTTCCTGCCTACCCCGGGTCCCACCAGCAGTGGCTGAGGGGAGTTGGTGCTGCCTGCTCACACTCCACAGCTTCTGTACCAGCACCTGGGACAGTTGCAGGGAGACCATTTGCATTTCCCTAGTGGCTACCGATGTGGGATGCTTGCACACCTTTAGTCCCCCTGGTGTTCTGAAGCTGTGCCTTTGGGTTTCACTCAGGGTGACTGATGGTGCTTGCTGTAGACTTACTGTCCATTCACATCATCTTTCAAGAAATACGTGTTCAGATACTTTGTGCAGGTATGGATTAGGTTGTCTTACTGAGTTGTGAGACTTCCTTGTTTGCAAAATAAGCCCTTTATCAGAGAGACAGTTTGCAAACATTTTCTCCCAGTGTGTGAGTTGTATTTTCACTCTCTTGATGCTATCCTTTGAGGCACAGAAATTTTGAATTTTGGGAAGTCCAGTGTATCTTTTTTCTGTTTTTTGCTCATACTTTTGGTGTCATATCTTAGAATCCTTTGGTGAATCAAAGTAGTGAAGATTTTCGCCTGTGTTTTCTTCTAAGAATTTAAAAGTTTTCCTGTTCCATTTTTATCTTTCATCCATTTTAAGTAAATTATCATTGGTGTGAAGAGAAAAATGTTTTTTTTTGACTCTCCAGCTGTCCCAGCACCATAATTGAAAAGACAATTCTTTCCCCATTGTATGATCTTGGCACCCTTACCAAAAATCATTTTGCCAGAGATGTATGGGTTCATTTCTGGGCTCTTAGTAGCACACCATCTCTTGATCGTTGCTTTGTTGTATGTTTTGAAACTGGAAAGTGTGGGTGTTCCTATTTCATTCTTTGTCAAGATTGTTTTGTATCAATCTTGAATCTGAGTTCATTTTGCTGAACTAATTTTGTCAGCCCTAATTATTTTTGCTGCTTTTGGGATTCTGCCTTTGACTTCCAGCATTTTTATATGTCTGTGTATGTTTGTATATAGCTTCCTTGCAGTTCATTGAACTTCCTGAATGTACACGTTACCCAGTAGACTTGGGGCGTTTCCAGCCATGACTCCTTGAGTCTCCTCCTCCAGCTCTCCTGCTTCTGGGGTTCCTCTGTGTGTCGAGGCTCTGGGCAGTGCCCCACGGTTCCCAGCAGCTCTGTCCCTTCTCTCTCTGTTCCTCAGCTTGCATGATCTCCTGTGCTCTCCCTTCACTGATTTTTCTGCCAGTTCAGATCTGTTCATTCCCTCCGGTGAGCTTCATGATTGCTGCTCATTCTTGATAATCTGATATGACAGTGTCATTTTTCACTCCTTACTGCCTTCCTTGTGCTGTCCTTTAGCTCTGTGAACATATTTGTGATGGCTACTTTGGAGCCTCTCTCTGTTGATGGCAGCTGGTGGCGTCCAACAACCCTCCGTTGCTGGTGTGGGGGCATGCTTTCCAGTTTCCTTTTTGCCTGATCATTTCTGTTGGAAATTGGATACTTTCGATAAAAAATTCCAGGCACTGTCCAACCCCCTCTCTTTCAGGCTTGTTACTGTTACTTGTTTGTTGTTCAGTGACTGGCTGGATGACTTTGGGGGTCTCTCTCCTACTGAAGGTTCAGCCCCTCATGGTCCTCAGAGAGGTTCCTGGTGATGCCTACAGTCACCCCAGCCTGTGGTCTTGGCTGTATCTTCGTTGGATCCACGAATCTCCTCCCAAATGCCTTTCACCACCAACTGCACTACGCTGAGAGCACCCTTAGGATTAAACTTCCAAAGCTCTGTGACAAGTGAAGTCAGTCCCTATGGGAAGAGGTCAGGAGCCATGTTTTATAGTCAGGCAAGCTGCTGAGAGACCCCCCCCACTCTAGGAGCTGAGCACTTGGTTAGGGGTGGGCAGCAGCCTCTCCTGGCATGGACCCACCACCTCATGAGCTGGGAGAGGGCCTGTCCGGGCCCCAGTATTCTCAGCATGCCATGCCCAAGATATACCCTCCCTATAGGTGGGGCAACACAGAGGAACGGCACCCCACCTCTTGGCACACTTGCCTGGGCCTCAGCCTCAGCCTAAATAATGCTGATGTCCCTGCACTCCCAGGGCAGGAGCAGGGCAGGGGTGAGGGGCCTCTTGGCCACAAAGTTGGGAGTGGATTCTCTGCCTGGTTCAGCAGGGAGGGAGGAGGCATGGAGTGGCCTTGGCTCAGATGCTACAGATAGTTCTCTTAATAAGTGTGCATAGGTTTTCTTGAATAGCTGCTTCTTCACTTCTTGGTACTTCAAGACGATTTCCAAATGCTTTAAATGTTTGCTTTGTAATTGTAACCAGTTTCTTGGGGCTGGTCAGTGATGCTCCTGAGGCTCTTTTTCTGGGCCTATGTTGCTTTCTCTGCCTTATTGTGAGGTTAGAACTTTCTGGGCTGGCCATCTAGTGCCGACAGACACACGCAGCCTCGTCCCCATCTGGGAAGGTACTCAGTCTTTCACTGCCACAGACAAGGTCAGGTCATCAAACTGATTTTAGCTAGTAGTTTGTGTTTTTTTTTTGGTATCGTTAATGTACAATTACTTGAACAACGTTATGGTTACTAGACTCCCCCTATTATCAAGTCCCCACCACATACCCCATGACAGTCACTGTCCATCAGCGTAGTAACATGCTATAGAATCATTATTTGTCTTCTCTGTTATACTGCCTTCCCCGTGTCCACCCACCCTGCTACATTATGTGTGCTATTCGTGATGCCCCTTTTTCCCCTTTATCCCTCCCTTACCACCCATTCTCCCCAGTCCCTTTCCCATGGGTAACTGTTAGTCCATTCTTGGATTCTGTGATTCTGCTGCTGTTTTGTTCCTTCAGTTTTTTCTTTGTTCTTATGCTCCACAGATGAGTGAAATCATTTGATGCTTGCCTTTCTCTGCCTGGCTTATTTCACTGAGCATAATACCCTTTAGCTCCATCCATGTTGTTGCAAATGGTAGGATTTGTTTTCTTCTTCTGGCTGAATAGTATTCCATTGTGTATATGTACCACCTCTTCTTTATCCATTCATCTACTGATGGACACTTAGGTTGCTTCCATTTCCTGGCCATTGTAAACAGTGCTGTGATAAACATAGGGGGGCATATGTCTTTTTGAAACTGGGCTGATGCATTCTTAGGGTAAATTCCTAGGAGTGGAATTCCTGGGTCAAATGGTATTTCTATTTTTAGTTTTTTGAGGAACCTCCATACTGCTTTCCACAAGGGTTGAATTAGTTAACATTCCCACCAGCTGTGCAGGAGAGTTCCCCTTTCTCCACAACCTCGCCAACATTTACTGCTGTTTGTCTTTAGAATGTTGGCCATCCTAACTGGTGTGAGGTGATATCTCATTGTGGTTTTAGTTTTCATTCTCTTATGATTGATTAGTGATATGGAGCATCTTTTTATGTGCCTGTTGGCCATCTGAATTTCTTCTATGGAGAAGTGTCTGTTCCAGCTCCTCTCCCCATTTTTTAATTGACTTATTTGCTTTTTGTTAAGGTGATTGAGCTCTTTATATAATTTGGATGTCAACCCTTTATCAGATATGTCATTTAAGAATATGTTCTTCCATACTGTAGGATGCCTTCTTGTTCTACTGATGGTAGAACAAATCTTTGTTGGACAGAAGATTTTTAGTTTGATATAGTCCCACTTGTTCATTTTTGCTTTTGTTTCCCTTTCTCAGGGAGATATGTTCATAAAGAAGTTCCTCATGTTTATGTCCAAGAGATTTTTGCCTATGTTT